AAATCGAATTGCTAATAGATCATATTACTGTTGTTGTGCATTAAATAAATGCATAAATTTTGCTTTATGCACCCGCGTGTGCAGTAATTTTGACAGTTGTGCTATTTTAAATTCCCAGGCGCCTAAAATCTTTTGTCTTTAAAATAATGTCGATTTCATGGGAAATTCCGAGGTTGCGCTTTTTTTGATACACCCTGTATAAGGCTGTATGTTACTGCAAAATATTTTGGTCAAAATAAGTAATACCTTCATCATTGCCAGCTACAATAAAATACGATATTTCTTTATTTATTCCAATATCTTTATCGTCAGCGATGACTGTGAGGATCTCCTCGTTCAGTTCGAAACTTTCAGGAATTTTCTTGCTGTAGCGGCTTTCTCGGAATACAGGTGCGTAGTCATTGTAGTCTTCGACTAGAATGGTTAACTAGAAGAAATATTTTGTTTATTTCACTTGCTGTTTGGTAGTGGCGCAAACATTCCTGTGCCTTGTGCAAGACTATGCTATAATCGCTTAACCGTCTGTCGTGTTGAAATAGCTGATAGAGTTATTTAGTAGTTAAGTTAACAGTGACCGCGGAGCCTGTTTAAAAGTGTGGGGGGGGGGGGAAAGGATAACACGGGAGCTATTCCACGCAGGCAACCTGGATTTCATCCGGTAATTTTTCATTATCCACCGAAAAAGTGGGGGGCATGGCCCCCTTCCCCTATTTCGCGGTCCCTGGTTAAGTTAGTCTCTTCTTACAGTAACACTGGATCAATAAGGGATGATCCTTACTGGACCTCTAGGGAGAACAGTTTACAACTGATAGAGATATTCAGTATAAATAAAGTTAGTTCAGTTTAGATAACACTGAATCAATAAGAGATCACTTTTACAAGGAAGAACTGTCCCGTATAAATAAAGATTTTATACCTTTGTGGTACTTTGTTGAACAGTAACATTCATAAATTCATTCAAAGTGCGGGCTTCGATAGTCAACTCATATTTATCACTCTTTTCTCGATCCAGTTTCCCAGGATCCGCGAGATACACGGTACCGTTCTCGTATCCAATCCCGAACACGCCGTCCTCATTTCCGCCGGAAATGACGTAATATATTTTCCGATGTGCCGTCTCGAAGTCGATGTCCGTTGCGTTCACTTGAGTTATGGCTTCACCACGTGATGCGTTTTCTTTCACCGTCGCTGACCAGGAATCTTGTGTAAACTTGGGAGGATTATCGTCTGCGTCCGATACTGTTACATATAGAGTGACGTTGCTGCTTTGCTTTGGTACGCCGTTGTCTCGGGCTGTCACCGTTATGGTGAAAGTGTGATGTTGTTCGAAGTCTAATACAATGGCTGTTTTCACCTCACCCGAGACAGCTAGAAAATTGAGAATAGAATTAGATTAGTACTAGGCTCAATGCCCCAATATATGATTGACTGATAATACCGATTGGCTGGCTGCCCGACAAACTGACTGTACATTAATACTATGCTCAATGGTCCAATATATGACTAACTGATCGGTTGGCTGCCCAACAGACCGACTGTAGAAGAGTAACTTACATCCAACAGAGAAAACAGCATTTCCATTTTCTAAGTTGCCTTCTTCTTGCATTTCATAGGTCACTTGACCAGCAGGGCCATCATCACCATCACTCGCTGACACCGTGAACACCTGTTATTAAAGAAAATTAAGGTTAATTAGTAATTCTTTATTGATCCAGTGTTACTACAGGACGAAACCTAAACTAAACTAACTTGGATAGCTCTATCAGTTCTAAACTGTTCTTTCTAGAGATCTAGTATGGATATTCTCTTGTTGCTCCAGTGTTATTACAGGAGGAAACCTAAACTAAACTAACTTGGATAGCTCTATCAGTTCTAAACTGTTCTTTCTAGAGATCTAGTATGGATCTTCTCTTGTTGCTCCAGTGTTATTACAGGAGGAAACCTAAACTAAACTAACTTGGATAGCTCTATCAGTTCTAAACTGTTCTTTCTAGAGATCTAGTATGGATCTTCTCTTGTTGCTCCAGTGTTATTACAGGAGGAAACCTAAACTAAACTAACTTGGATAGCTCTATCAGTTCTAAACTGTTCTTTCTAGAGATCTAGTATGGATCTTCTCTTGTTGCTCCAGTGTTATTACAGGAGGAAACCTAAACTAAACTAACTTGGATAGCTCTATCAGTTCTAAACTGTTCTTTCTAGAGATCTAGTATGGATCTTCTCTTGTTGCTCCAGTGTTATTACAGGAGGAAACCTAAACTAAACTAACTTGGATAGCTCTATCAGTTCTAAACTGTTCTTTCTAGAGATCTAGTATGGATCTTCTCTTGTTGCTCCAGTGTTATTACAGGAGGAAACCTAAACTAAACTAACTTGGATAGCTCTATCAGTTCTAAACTGTTCTTTCTAGAGATCTAGTATGGATCTTCTCTTGTTGCTCCAGTGTTATTACAGGAGGAAACCTAAACTAAACTAACTTGGATAGCTCTATCAGTTCTAAACTGTTCTTTCTAGAGATCTAGTATGGATCTTCTCTTGTTGCTCCAGTGTTATTACAGGAGGAAACCTAAACTAAACTAACTTGGATAGCTCTATCAGTTCTAAACTGTTCTTTCTAGAGATCTAGTATGGA